TATTTTGTGCTGCTTTTATTAGTTAATTCGTCTAGGTCTAGTCTTAGTTCTGATGGTAACGGTTTCGATGGAAGTAATTGTAGATTGCGTGGTGTGTTCTACTGGGATCCCATTGCATAATAGCACTCCTCCTTTGGGCGTCTTCGGGAATTCTGTCCTTTCTGATTATATGGTATTCAGAGATGTGTAGTGTATCTGCTGGTGCTAACCGGGTTTCCGTTACTATTGCAATATCTATGAGGTGGTCTTGTAGAAACTTTTGAAACTCTTGATTCTTGTTTTTGATGCTGGTAACATTCCATAACATTATTTTGATTTGATGATTAAAAGCCAGCTTTTTTTACAATTTGTGGCCTTGACTCTTTCTAAGTTATTGATGCATTTCATGTAATGAATTTGAATCAGCTCTATTATTCTTAAGAATAAGTCGAGATCGGATGATTTTATTTCGTTGAGGGCTTTGTTTATTGTGTTTCCATTATCTTCTAATAGTGTGGGAGTTTTTGGGAAGGGTGTTTTGCAGTTATATTGGCATAAGTTGTTTGTGTTGCCCCGAAACCCTGTGTATGTGTTTGTGTTTGTGCATGTGCTTTTTATGTGATATGGCTATGATTCTGGTTAGGGTGGGAAAGGCTTGTGGTGATGGGAGATATTAGTATTGTGTGTTTGACTATAATTGTATTTTGTGTGCATTTCTCTTGGCGAAAAATGCGAGTAGTGCTGAATATTTAGAGTAATTAACCTTTACAATTTATGCATGTTGATGGTACCTCAAAGGTCTTGGTGCGCTCTCTAGAGTCGTAGGTACGACGACATACATTGCCTTTTTGTTGCAATTTGTGGATGTGTCCGTGTGTCTGGCACCGGTAGCAATGCATCGTTGGTTCCTTGGATTCAAGTTTCTTCCAGTAAATTTTCAGGTTTTCGCTAAACCTTACTTGGTTAACTTTTGCGAGAATTGTACTTGGCGCGAATGTTACTCTGTGTACGGGATATCGTGTATGTGTTTGTATTTGTGCACGTGTATGGGTAGGTATTTCTATACAATTTAGAAGGTTTAGTCCCTGACTTTTTATGTTGTTAATAATAGTCTTTTTGGGTAGCTTTACTAATCCCTTTAGGACTACAGTGAGAATTTTTTCAATGCTAATCGTGTATGTATGGAACTCTATGTTATCTTTGCGACATAGCTCCTTAAATTCATTAAAGACTGTTATGTTTTGGAACGTAACCTTTAGCTTCTCCGAGGTGTACTTAGTGTGGAATCTGTTATTGTATTTTATTTTCAGGGCTTTGAGTAGTTTCGGATAGTTTATTTTGCCGTGTATATTAGGGATGGTTCAACTAGTGTCTCAGTGTTTTTATTGTCTGCTTCGTTTGTATGTTCCATGTCGTTCATTAAGCATTCCGCTAAGATGCCAAATTTATTGTGTGTTGGTATGTTTGGTTTTAACGTCTCCATACCTGATGTTGTTGGTTCTGAGTTGGTGAGGGAGAATGATCTCTTTCTAGTTATAATAGGTATTATTTCTTACTCTGTTGCCTTCCTTTTTCCTGCGGGTCATGTGATGGACGCCATCGTCTCCGTTTTTTCCTTCTTCTGATCTTTCCTTCTATGATTTTTTGATTTTGGTTCTCTCTGTTTTGGTGGACTTGTTACTGGGACGTGGTGCAATGGTGAGTTGCTGTTGAATTGCCGCTGGCTCCTATATCTCGTTCAGATGCGATCACTTCAAAAGCTCACGAACAAATACTGAAACTACTGATTCTATAAGTGACGGATAGGATCGAATTGACCTTGTCTGTACTTCCGAGTGTCATTTATAATTTACAGGCGTCCTTATTCTTTCTAGGGATCTCGCAAGTCTTAGAAGGTCGGTGAGTCCTGTGTAGCTATTGTATGGATCGACTTTCAGTGTGAATTTTATTGTACTATCACGTCCTGAGAGGGATCTCTATAGAAAGAGACTTAAAAACTTATTTCCCGGATACTTTACCCAAGGAACGCGAAGGATTGAGATCGTGTTGATAAGGTGGGAGTAAAGATGAAAAAAGAAGAGTTTCGTCTCGAAGTCGCCGCCAGACTCATCAATGGGACTAATGGCGGTGACCACTACCCCAGACGCTTGTTTATTAGGGCCTCTAACTGGGCATGGAAACGGCACCCATCCTAGAGTTGATCTATACGCTGCACGTTTAACCGGGTGATCGCCATCGATCCGTAGGCGCGCTGCATCCACTTGCAGTCACTTGGTTGGTGATTTTTATATCTTTGTATGATGTGCCGCTACAAATCAAATATCTCGGACTTCACCTAGATTCAAAGCTAACATGGAAACAATATTTACACAAAAAAATACAACAAATCCGAATCAAAATAAAAAAAATGTTCTGGTTAACTAGCCATGAATCGAAATTAAGTATAGAAAACAAATTATTGATGTACAAAATTATAATGAAACCTATATGGACATATGGCACCCAGCTTTAGGAAAGCGTGACTGCCAAAAGCCATATCACAAAGTTGGAAGCTATGTAATCTATAATACTTAGAACAATAGTTAATGCGTCCTGGTTTATCAAGAATCAAGACTTACGAAAAAACTTACAAATTCCCTCTGTGTGAGAAGAAATTCAACGATTTTCCGATAGATACAAAGATAAAACAACAAATCATCCAAACTCCCTAACTAATACCTTATATATGGACAACATCACAGGATTTTATAACGCATCCACTCATGAACTGAAATCATTGTGCAACTATGTTCCTCCACTGGGAGTAGGATCCACATGATACCATCAAACCGATCTACCGAATGTCCACCAGGACAAATTGCAGGAGCTTTAGGGGCTTTAAAAAAAAATCTGTTGAATATTGCAACTAACTTCCCCGCTGACGTCGGGCTTGCTTTATAGGAAAGCAATGGCGACAGTGGATCGATCACTTTGAATCGTGAGCCGTTTGATTACCCTGATTAATTCCTCTAAAAACAGTGAAAGATGAATGATCGATGCCAACCGTTTTCAAAGGACGTCAAACATAACAGACACGCGGATCAGTTGCCGGGAAAGAAAACAATAAACTATCGTGTCACGATAGAGCGTAGCAGATGTTAGGACTTCATGCCAGCATAAAAAACGGGCGAGCCGTTGTCCTTATCTAAAAATAAAATAATAAATTTTTATGTGGACAAGAAGCTTAACGTCTTTCATACGCATATTCTAGTAATTAGAATTATGGGAAATCGCCTAAACAGATTAATTTATTAATTGAAATTACACAGATTGCGAAAAATATTTACCAGAACACATAAATAAATTCGAAGAAAAATTACGAGGTCTAGTATATAATTACCATGGATATATTGTATAATTGTTATAGTTATATAGTTATATTATTATTATAATCATAGATCAAATTTTATTTATTAATAATAATATAGTAATATAAGAATAATATATATGGTAATTATATCTGTAAGTCCATGTTTATTTGTACATTCTTTTAAATGAATGTATGAAATATTAACAGTATTTCAGAAATGATGCAATTTTAATTAACAAATTCATTAAGATGTATAAAATGTTCAAATCCCTTTTTATTTTCTGTTTTAAATATTTTAAATTTGACAGGTAATATAAATTTCTGTGACTATAAAAACAGTAATTATAAAAAGAGTAAGAAGAAACTATAAAAACAGTAATTATAAAAAGAGTAAGAAGAAAAGTTAAAATTCCACCTATTATGACATATTAAAACATTCTTGACGGAATTATTTTGTATAAACTGCTTATAAAAAAATATTATTGTTTTCACGAAATTTCATTCCGTAATTTCTTCCACAATTATATTTTACTCGAATAAATATTAAAATTAAAATTTGTTCACATTCTAAAAATGGAAAATAATTCATTCTTAGTCAACTGGATTGGAATATCATTCGTGATAATATTTTTTATGAATTTTGAAAGATAGTAATAAGCAAATTGTATTTATATATATCATTAATATTTCGTGTATTTAATATATGAAATATAATATAAGTCACGTTATGAAATATAATAAGAGATTGATAATAAGAGCTTATATTTTAATTATAATCTAGTGTAAGATTTTAAATAAATTCATAATTGCTACAGTATGCATTATATTTTTAATAACTAGACAATTCATATTCATCAAAGAGTATGTTTAATCTATTTTTTCTATCATATTGACTATTTGTAATTGGCATTTTGTAATGTAAATATGGTATAAATAGCATCAGTATTTTTATATTCTATTCTAATATTTTATGGTTTTGGAGTTGAGAACAAATATAAGATAAAAACTCAATTTATTTTTAAACTATTGTCAAAATTGCACTCTATATAGATGTAATTGTCACATATCACATTAAATTCAGTAATATTTTAAGTTAATCTTGTGACAATTAATGTCGTTTTTATAATACCAGTGTCGATCGAAAATGTGATCTCTGATTATAATAATTTCCCGAGAAATTGTCTATAAATTTAACACACGCGGAACTGTATTCTTTCTTCATTTATCGAATGATCGAGTAACTGTCAGTTGATTCTAATTGGACTATTTATTTAAGACGTGAATTTTAAATGAAAGAAAAAAATGTATCTTCAACGTTCTATACTACATAATCAGTGAAAAACTATTATAGCTTTCTTAAGTTTCTCATTGTTTTATGCGTCTATAGATTATAATGGCAAAATACAAAATTATACAGCTTATACAATTATATGTTACATAATAGTAAGTGTAAAAATTATCCTAGAATGTAATAAAAGTTTATAAAGTAATAAGATAATATAAAAGACTTTTTCAAATATTTTCTAAGATAACAAAAAGGAAATATGAAAAATTATGTTAGTTAGTAATTACAAAAAATTGAATTATTAGTATATCGAAGTTAAAATCGTAAAATTATTGGCCATAATAATGGATTATTGGCCAAAAAGACTCTCCAAAGTTATAAGACAAAATGTCTTATGGAATATTAGGTAATTTTGCTAATAGTAACTTTTATACAATATATTAATAATTTTACAACATGGAGACGTGCAAAAGTATTGAATTAATGCAAGTCCTATTCGTCATTAGCTCGTAAACGTGGGATATCCTTATTGACTAATTAATTGGAAGTAGTATCAGCGTCGTATCGTTGCAAACATTCAGGTGACATATTTTTAGAGTTCGGACTTTATTGTAGCTTCTCTGTTTTACGACAGGTAACCGGGGACCTCTGAATGTGACAATTGTACAGGTCGGAAAAGGAAATGGGGGCAGTGGAGATGGCGGAAGTGATTTACTGAGATTGGAACCACCGTCGGAGTTAAGGCCAGCTCCATCGCCTTTATCCGAAACGAGTGCCACACTGCAGTCCGACAATAATGATACCTTTAGCGGAGGTGAGACTATTTACGTTTACTGTTTCCTTTTTTTTTTCTCTTAATGCATTTGAGTATTATCTACCTTTAAGGTATTTACCTTTGATATAATTATGTTGAATCGAAAGAATGAAGAATGAGGTGGAATCGATAGTTCAATGAAATGAAGTTTAGTTATTATTTAAATAGAAAGGGTAACTGATTATAATATATGAAATTTATGTTTTTCTTTCGTATCGAATTACAATAATTTTATATGTCATGTAATGTTTTTTTTTTGTATTATGAAGATAAAGAAAAATTATTATTATATTATTATATTTTATCTAATAAAATAATTTTATAAAATATGTATAGTTTATATAAAAATAATTCATAATTATTATATGTATAGTTTAAATTAAAAATAATTCATAATTAGAAAAATATTTCCGTGAAAACTGAGAATATACATAATATATGCTAATTTTCGGATTATTAACAGTAAAGTTACACTAAATCTTGAAAAATTTAATATTTATTTTTAAAATGCATCATATTATATAAATCACTAACTAAAAAGTATATACCATATATGTTTCAAATACGTTCTTTTAAAATCTTTTAAGAATTAATAATATTTTTATTTGTATTTGAGAATAAAATGAATATATAATACGTAATATGAAAATCTATTTTAAAAGAAAACAGAATCTACATTTCTAATTTTATAGAGTAAGAAATTCTTTTAGACTACAAAAATTCTTTTAAAATACAAAAAAGAAAGAAACTCTATGGTTGAGGTTAAGGTATAGTAAAGAAAAGAATTTATTTTAATATAATGTAATTTTAATGCAAATGTAACGATACATGAAAATGCAGACCATTTCTAATAAATTAAATTATTGCATCTAAAAGTTATTGTTTATTTTTTTCAGTCAACAGAAAATCAATATATTCGTTATTGTTTGTATTTTTAATTATTTTTCAATAATCTGAAACAAATACATTGAATATTATTCTTTTCTTTAGCTTACATTAATTCCATCAACTTTTAACTAACTTCATTAAATTATGGATGAATTATAAAAGTTTTGTTCCATTATTTAATTTTAAAATACCTTATTTTTTAAGAATGAATATTTATGTAGTATTTATTTTTTTCTAATAAAGACCATTTCCATAGTGTAATATTTATGTTTTCATGCTTGGTAGAGTTTTTAATTAAAAAATGACTCGTAATGAATAATAGGTTTGGAATAGACTTGATTCTGTTTCTTGTCTGATTATATGTAGTATTATATAAGATATAGAATGAATATTAAAATTAATAATAATAGTTGAAATATCCGTTAGCTAAATAAATAAATAAAAATAGAGTGTTTAAACGATTAAAAAACATTTTAATTATTTAAACTCAAATTTTGTGGACGACAACCATTTTAAATAAGTGCGAAGCTACGATTAATAGTTTTAATTTTTCTTTTGGAAATAAATAATAAACAATAATAAGTAGAGAACGGAATACCTTACTCTAGTAAAATATGCTTTCTTAAAATTTTGATATAAAATAGTTGACGTGTATTTTGAAATTTTTAATATAAGTATAAGATTTTTCAAACATCCGTGGTGTATATAGCTTAAATATTGACAACTAAGGATCAGTTTACTTTCAGTTTGTAATGGAAGGGTAGATGTCATATCCTGTTAGCGGAAGCGTTTTAGGAGTGAGATTCTGGTTACAGTTAGGTTAGGTAAGCAATAATACAAGAAAAAGTTCAGTAAAGCGTTATATCAAAGAAACTACATTGACAACATTGTATCAAATATTGTATCCTTGAACACATTAATATTCTATCATTCGTACAATATAAAGAATATGAGTTTTTAAAATAATGTATTATATATACCTATATATAATAAGATATTAAAGACGAATGTGCCTCATATTAAAGTAAAAATAATGGCTCATAAGAAAGAATATATTGATAAAAAATGATGTTGGAGAGAAATTTCGATATTACGAATTTTTTAGTGAAAATAATGATTTATTAGATTTTAAATATTTTATATAAAATTTTGTTTGAAAATATAAATGGATTGTTTTGTTGTCTAAAAACTCATTCGACCATCGAATTGTTTGTAATAAAATATTCTTTTAGTTTAGGTTGATTGCTGAATATGTATATGTGTGAATAAAATATATTATTATATTAATTATATATATATGTATAATTAAATTTGATATAAATTTTTTTGTCTTATACAAGAAGCAATTATTTGAAGAAATTATTTTTTCTGATTGTTATCTCAATTTTTTGCACTTTTAATATACAGGATGATCCATTTAAGTGAGACCATCTAAATATCTTTAAAATGTTACAAACTTAAAGAATTTTAATTTTTATATTTTGCTATACACAAATTTATTGATATTAATTTTCTCTACTTTATTTTTAAAATTAGATTTGTCAGAACGAGTAAAGTATATATAGGTACTTATAACATATTATATAAATTTTTTAAAGTTTTTACAATTTTTATACTTTAAAATGGATAGTTATATGATTTATTTTTTATGAAATTTTCATACGAAATATATATAATTAATTATAATTTAAATTTTTTATCGTTATTGGTTGTATGCTCTTTATTGTATATTCAGATTAAAAACGAAATTAAAAACAAAATTCACTTTTATATTTACTAATTTACGATTTTAAATTATGTATTTTCAATAATTTTAATAAAATAAATAGAAATTTCAAATTTCAATAAATAAGAAATACTAAATGTATGTAAATTATAAAATGTATGTAAAATATGTATAAAAAAATATGTAATTCAGAAAGTAAAAAATCTTGTAAATTAATTTCATAAAAAAATATTAAATCTACTAAATATCAATATTCTTCTAAATACTAATACTGTGTCTATATTTACACATTTCGTTATTGCTTTTGTAATGATTTCTTAAAAATTTTAGATGTTATTGCGTGGAAACAGTTATCTTTCCCATGTTATTGCACAAGTTTATTGAAAATGATGCAATAAATATACTGGTAGCATACACATATACATACGTATCAGATCACAGAAAGGAAATTAAAAATAATTTAATTTTTGAAATGTTAGAAATAATAGAATGATTGTGTTAAAAAATTATTTAACATCTTTGGAAATATTCCTGAAAAAATTATTGTTTTGTTGAGGAATAGAAATTAATCGTATAAAATACTGATTATTAATTTAAAATGTTTAATTGCTAAAATGAAATGGAAATATTAATTCTTCGATGAAACTCTTAGATATTGCAATAAAAAATCAGTTTAATTAAAGATATTACTCGAGAGCATTAATTATGTTTGTAACCCATGTAAAGTGAATATCAAAACTCACACGGTACGAACAATAATAAAGATTAATCAATATTTTCTTAAATAATTTATTGTTGAATTAAATGAAACTTTTTTTTTTAGTAAAAATGACAATAATATTAAGTATCTTTATGTATCTATTGTATAAATTATGTGGTAAAAGATAAATTTTTATGACAGATAAATTTAATTTAACGTTTTATTGTCTTAATTTATTATTTCCCTTAGTAGAAATGTTTGTAGGAATTTCATATTGCCGGCGGGATGTTTGAACTGACAGTTATGTCAAAGAAATATTACTTATTAGAATTACCATTATAGAAGTTTTATAAATAATTGTACAATTTTATTATTGTACTATTTTAATTTAATAATTGTAATTTTGTACTATCACAATATATTATATACTATAACAATCGAACCCGTCAATATGACTGATTTCAGACTTTCGTTTGAATTACTTAAAAGATACGGTTATTCTTGTCAAAATTAATATTAACCTGGGATTACCCACCTGGGGGTCTAGTGCAGGTACATCCCCCCCACGTGGATAGTCCCTGGTTAATTTTTCTTTGCACAAAAATAATATATAAATATATATTTATTTTAATTATCATTTAAATTATAATGATTTATATGTAGAATATTTTGATATGTGTTAATAGATGTTTTCATTTATTTATTTATATTAATATTTTTGGGCAACAAAAATCAAGTATATACATATGTAATGTCTGCCAAAATGCCATTCTTTATTTTATTTTATCATTTGTTATTTTCATCAAAATTTAATGAAAAATCTTGAAATTTCTGAACTTTCATCGGCATTTGGAATATTGATTTGAACTTCATGACTTTTCAGGTGTGGATCCACGATTATTGTTGGGTGGCGACCGTAACACGTGGGAGGGTCGTTACCGTGTGAAGGAACATCGGCGTGCTGGCAAAGCAACGTTCCAGGGTCAAGTTTATAACTTCCTGGAGCGTCCCACTGGCTGGAAGTGCTTCCTTTACCACTTCTCTGTGTAAGTATCCATAAATTCTACATGAATTCACAGGGTCTATTTAAATAATGTCATCTAAATATCTTTTCGAATTGTGATGATGCAAAAAAACATTTTTTGGTATCGAAAGGCTAAGAATAACTGCTAAGAATTTTTTTTTCAATGTCATTTTCTCGGAATTTTCGAGATGCTTTTTTCCCTACAACACTTACCTTTATCGGGATCACGTGACAATCAAGAGCCGAATAATAAATGTAAATAAACATATTTACTATTTACATCATTAATGATAATCCCTTCTAGCAATTTGAAATCAGTGTATCGAAATTTGTCAGTAATGTCATAATGGAATGCAATATTCAACGCAAGAAAAGATCGGTATGATATTCATTTATGGTAAAAGTGACCAGAATTTGAAACATTGTCGAGTGTACAAGATTAGGAAATATATCTTTGTATATTCGGACTTCTCTCAAATACTGGTCACTTTTATCATACATGAATATCATGCCGTTCTTTTCTTGCGTTGAATATTTCATCATGGTTTACTGACAAATTTCGACATACTAATCGGGATTTCAAGCCATTCATTGACGATGTAATAAATAATAAACATCTTTATTTACATTTATTTATAAGGCTCTCGATGGTCGCGTCTTGCCCAAGTTTTATGAACTGAATAAAAGTTAGTTGATATGTAAAACTTAAATTTTCATGTTCTTTACGTATCTGAACGTATTTTTTTTACCAGCTATACTACGATGCAATAAAAAAATACACAGTTCTATGAAAAAAAATACCAATGACTTTGAGAACTTCGAAAAAATGAAAAAGAAATATTCTTACTAGTTATTGGCTTTTCAATATCATTCTTGTTAGGCAAAAAATATTTTTTGCATCATCAGAATTGGAAAAAATATTTAAGTGGCTTCATTTAAATGAACCTGTATATGTATATATGTATATACGTATGTACCACTTGTTTTGCTTGATGTCTTTCTTTATTATTGATGTTTTTTAATTCATCCACGCAACTATTTGATTCGAAAAATGTGAAAAAATTTTGTTCTCTTTCGAGGAACACATTTCTCCTAGATCTGTCCTAGATTTCAAAGTCATTTTCATTTTTTTAAATATATTTTTTAAAATATAATACATATATTTTTTATGTATTAATCGATGTGACATTCTCTATAAAAAAGTATTAACTTATGCATCTCGAAGAATTATTAGTTTAGGAGATATTTTAACTTTAATTTCATAAAATTTGCGTGAAAAGACAATGATAGTACGAGTATAAAAATTCATGCCTTTCATACGATAGATTTTACAAAATATCTCTAAACTAATTATTTTTTTACATACATGGATTAATACTTTTTTTTTATAGAGAATACAGAGCTTCATTAATTAATTGAACGTGTAAGAAAATATATGATTCTATTTTAGAAAATAGATCTTAGGATCTTGAGAATGCTTCTATTTACAGACAAATTCGGTGATGATCGTAAGATGTTTTCCTCAATAGAGAACGAGTTTTATTTCAAACATTTTTTCGAATAATAGTTATGGAAATAATTGTGTGGATTAAAATGAGACTCTCTGTATATCAAATTGATTAAAAAAAAAATTTACAATAATAAAATTGAGACATATATATAAGTGTTAAACGGAACAAATAGAGTAGTTTCTTTAAAAGATTTTTTACTATAAAATTGTTTAATTCTAAGCAGTTCTAAGCAAGATTACATTGAAAAAATATTTCTCGCAATTATCGTAATTAATTCAAGTAGTAATATTTGGAATTGATAGATACTTAATAGAAATTGACAGATACTTTTATGATAGATACTAGTAGAATGAAAATGTATTTAATTTTAATATGCTATATGTGAATTTTTTAGTAAATAATTAAAATTTACAAGTAAATAGAACTGTTAATTTCATAAGAAAATGACAACAAAATAATTTAAATTTCTAAATATTTATGAACGGTAACGTAAGTATATACTTATATATTTACATAGATTTTTTAATTTCTTCACAAGATTACATTTTGAAGTAAAAAAATATATATTGATAATATTTTATATGTATATAATCATACAATATACTTGCCATTAATAAGATATGTTGGAAGAATAAATGTGTGCTATAAATTGAGTGTGAAATAACGTGTATTCTTTAAAATATAATACTTTTTAGTTAAATTGAATTAACTTTTACTTGCATTATGATTTTAATAAAAATCATATATTTGGCAATAAATTATTATATTACTCGTTTTTTTTTTATAATCTCTCTTTCTTTAATAGTCCTTTTTTATCGATTCGAAATTTTCGTGTTAAAACATGTATTTATGAATAATATAAATGTTTATATATTTATGAAAATTTGCAAAAATATTCGTAATCTACAAAATACGTTACATAAAATAATCAGAATAAATATTTCTAAATCTTAACACAATATGTACAGGTTGAAACGATTTTTCACTTTAATTTAATGTATATGTGAACTTGTATGAATATCCGCAATTTGTTAGGTTACGTATGAGGTTTCGTTTAAATGCTGTTTGGGTGACGATATATCAAAAGTAGATTAATGATTTATTGGTTCCTTTTCTTATTCTATCTTCCGCGAACGTTACCACATCAATCTTTGTCAGTTCATCAGTAATATTATGAAAATGATGTTTTACGAAAGATCGATCGCATGAATAAAATACATCATGAAGCACGGGAGACATATTTTTCGTCAGTTGATTTGTATCAATTTATGAAATATTAGAAACTGCACGAATGTTATATTTTCCTTCTAACTGCGATTATAAAAAAAAAGAATGAAAAAGAAAATATTAGATGAGAGACAATCTAGAAATACTTTTCAAAAATTTTGTTTCGTCTATTTTTTGTATATACAGACTGTACTATAATATGTATGTATTAGACTGGAGAATTCAGCACATAAAATAAGAAAAGAATTTCATATAAATATATACCTGACATGATCTTATTTCTAAGATGTAGCCGTTCGAATTTAACAACCACCAAAAATATGTTTATTTATAAACATTTAAAGGAAGAACTTAGTTCATCAAAAGAATTATTAGAAAATAAAAATTCTACTAGATATAAACATATCGGGATCATATCATATGTTTGTATGAACTTTCATTTTAGTGTACTGAATTCATCATAAAATTGCTCGTGTATTTTGATACGTCCTGTATATAGGTATTTTTCTTATATGTTAAAAAATTTGCTATTCCTTTAAACAAAATATTAATTTTCTTTTCAAATAAAAAAGTTTGCGAATAATTATATTTATTAATGAAAATTATAATGTTTATTAATTAATGATTTAAAAAGATCCGAATTCTATATCATGTTATTTTGATGGTACACATTACACATATATAATATGTAGTTGTATAGTATTTTCAAATAAAATCTTATATATTTTTTTCTATTATTATTCTGTGTTAAGTGAATATAATTATGAATATAAATATTTTAAATAAATTTTTATTAAGATATTTTATTGCTTTTTCAGTAAATTTTTCTGATTTGCATTTTGAACATTTTATCTATACATTGATTTTTCGTGAATTCGCTATGATATTTAGTTAATCTTCTGATTCCTTTTTTAATGTTTGCCCGAATTAAATGGATGTTTAAACGTTTCAATTTTAAAGAAATTATGTAGGAAAGTTTATAAAAAAGAACCAAGTAATATATTCACAATATTGATAATGAATTAATTTTTAGATACGACGAATTTTGTTTACGAAAAGAAAAAAAATTTTTAAATATTGCAAATAATTTAAATAAGAGGAAGTGGAAAAAGACTAAAAAATACAAAAAATTCTTGTGTGTATTTTAGTGTTTAGAAATCTTTTGATTGAAAATGAAATATCGATATTCTTTATATTATATAGAGATAAACTCCAAAAATAAGTTCAAGCTTTGTAAGAAATGTAAATTATGAAAGTATAATATGATGACAGGTTTGCATTGTATGTTGTATGTTTGAGTAACAGTAGATGCAGATAATAAAATTGATATATCTTCAAATAAATAGAAATAAATTTCATGCAAGTACTCAATAGTAAATGAATAAAGCATGGACATATTTTATACATTTATTTTTTAATGTCCCATGCGGAACAAAATTCATAAAAATTTTTAAAAGCAATATATTTTAGAAAATAACACATTTTATGTAGATATTAATTGTTATTATAGTATGGTATTTTTTTATTTATTTTGAAATATTCATATTCTAAGACTAATAAATAAAGTCATAAAAGCTAATAAGTAAATGTATTTTTTATTAATCTTAGAATATGATAGTTTTGATTTTACTTACAAAAATTTATTGCACATAGTGTTAGAAAGTTAAATTTTCTTCGTATAGATGGCGTATTATATACCGACCTGCATTCCTTATTCTGATCAATATCCTGGTTATATCATTCACTGGGTGTCTATGCAGAAATCAGCAACTCGATTCGTTGCATCGTATTCCTTTTTACAAATGTTTTTATGTATTTATGGCAAAAGATAACATATAAGAATGCTACATAAAAGTTTGTTGTGAAAGCATAATCTTGATAATATAAAAATTCATATTTTTTATGGCTTTAATACTATATTTTATCTTAACATTTCTTTCACTTTATATTTCTCAAACGTCATATATACATCCTCGATAATTTACTGATGAAAGAGATCTATTTGAGTCTATTTTAAAAAATATGATATAATGCAGTGGTTATGAATTAAATCACATTGAAAATAAAAAAGTAACTTTTTTTAGGAGAATATATTTATATTGTATTTAGCAAAAATTATATAAATGTCAATTACTTTACTAACTAATAGAATAATAAGTGATAGTGGTAAATGATATGTGTAATATGAGTATGCATATTAGTAATAATTATGGCATTAACAAATAATTATGCGCGAAGTTTTCTCGCAGGAAAATATATGTAATAAATCAAAGTACTTTTTAAATTTACAATTTCGAATATCTGATATTTTGTATCATTTACTGTAAATATATTCCATGTAGGAAGAAAAACGTTTTTATACTGAAACTTTTTGAAGTCGACGATTTCACTTCGACAAAAACCATACAACAACTTTCCTTTCTCTTTCATTTTTTATTAGCGAATAAAATACAGGATACAATTTTCAATTTATTAATATTATTGTAATAGTGTCCATGTTTTCTGCATTATTTTGTTGCTGACGATCTAATCTGGATTAGTAATTAAAACAGTTGATGCCCTAATTTGAAAATAGATTGGTTACTACGGAGAGTAATATATTCATTGATGTAACAAACCAGTTACTTACATGTAAGCTAGATAATTGCTATAACTGAGTATATATCAGCAAGCTTTGGTAATAAAAATTCCACTTCTCATCTTGTAATACTATTAGATTATGCAAATTACTTGAAAGTATGGATCGTATATTATAACACTGAATAATGCTTAAAAGGAAAATTAATAAAATAATATTTACATATCTATTCAATCTATATCTACAATATATAGATAATTACGTTTATCTAATATTATTTAATTCGCAATAGATACAGACTATATAAACTATATAAACCATATTATTCAGAAAATAGTTTATCTCTTAAAGATATAAATAAAAAACATGAACAAATGTAAACAAATATAATAGTTTTTTGATATATGTAATTTCATTTTAAAAAATTAAGATAATCGAGCCCTCGTTGATAAAAAGAATTTTTGAAAACTTCAATTGAAATTTTATTTATAATTTATAATTATTTATAAAGTTAATTAATTTTATATATGTTATCTATTTATATTGTATATATTTACGTATATTATTTATTTATATCATATTTTTATACATATATTGTAAATCTCGTTATAAATAATTCTAATTTGTGATTTTGGCATCTGGTTATATAATATTTAGGAATTCTATTCCTTTTTGGATAAATATTTCCTATGTTATGTCGACAAACAATTCTTGATTACTCATGATCAGTTGAATATTCTGACTTGATTTAGATCGGTAGTCTAAAACTCGAGTATCCTTTCACAATGTTAAAAAATAATTTTTTAATAGAATTGTGGTTTTATTTATTTATATATTTTATTTATATATTTTTGTAAAATTATAGTTTTTGGTAATCTATTATAGTCCACATATAGTAGAATTTTGTATAACAGTTTCGCATGAGTTATATTTATACTAAATGGACTGAAGATATCCGAATTGTTATTATCAAGATATGTACAATAAATATATTAATACATTTTTACAGACTTAATAAGCAGTAATAAGTATTCAATATGATATAAAATATTTTTACGATTAGTGTTTAATTATTTTGTATAATTATTGTGAGTTAATTAATGTTATTAGATATGGGATGTACGAGGTTGGAATTTATTTCTAGAAATTTAGAAGTATATAAGATCGTATAATATTTTCAATCCCAAAATAAATCGTTTCATATTCTGACAATATTGATTCGCTTTTGGATTGCTGCCATCATTCCAAAAAAAGAATCGTAAGCCGTGTAATCATTCGTGATTGTCGTGTCAAGTTATTCAAATTATTCAAATTGGATCATGCGATGGCTGTTCTGTTCCCTGTATACATATATCATCAAAGAGACCAAAGGTTGTTCTCGTGAGGAATGTTTTAGTCGATGATAACTTGACTTCATACCTGTCGCAGGAAAATACTTTTTTTTTGTTGTGAAGCATTATATCCCACCGTTTAAAAAAGAGCATGTTCGATCATCGTTGCATTGAAGAACACATTTCAAATCTTTTATTTTAAGAGAAAGAATCATCTATTCTGTAACATAGCATAGACTTATATTGTCATTCAAAAGTCTTAGGACAGTTTTATTTTTAATATTCAGTACTTACTGTGGATTATCGTGTATGTATATTTTTTAATACAATATATAATAATATAGTATATTAATATATTAACAGGTCATATATTGTATAAAGTATTTATAGTATTTAATTATATTGTTATGTATTATATTTATCGTAAATACAACAATTTATATTTCATTATTGGACATTGTATATATGATTTATAATTTTATTTATAAAATATATTTTTATACGTGTGTAATTTATACTGTAAATTTAAAATTTATATTTATTGTACTATTTTTATTATATTGTATATATAAGTATAGTATTTGTCCTAAGAGTTTTGAGCGGGGGGATATAAAATAAATTATGACAAGCTATATCTTTTTTTAAATAGAAAAAGATAAATTGCACAATATTTAAATACTCCATTTTTTGTACAAGTGCAATAATATATGAGAAAACTTTTCTGTTTTAGGAAGATATTAATGTGGTCGAAGATTAATAAATTTAAAATAATTTAATATAAAATTAAAAATTTTTAAAAAATTTTTTGTAATTTTTTGTAAAACTTGTCGTATGAAAAACAAGGAAAATAAACTTAAGAATGATACGTTATATCTTTGTTTGTCTTCCACAAAATAAATTTTAAACTAATAATTTTTCGACCACATTAGTTTTAATACTTTTCTACATAGAATGATAAAAGGATTTGATGTCGGTGTGCAAAAAAAGTTCTATTTAAAAATATAATACAACTGTAACATAAGCATGCATTATTGAAAAAGATATGGATGTCAATATAGTCCATTTTGAATTATTCATTTTTTTTTAAACATTTTTTTTCTAATTTTAATTAAGAAAAAAATACAGTTGTATACCTTGTATACGATCGAAATATCGTATGCTTTCTTATACAAAAATAGATTTCTTATACAAAAATTAACACTTACTGATACACTTTTTTTAAATGATTTCCGGACAATTAATAAAAAAGAATCCTGTTAATAGAGAAAAATAATTCCTCATTCAGATTATAAATCATTTAAAAATAGTAATTTTATATTTTGACATATTATGTCATTTTTATTGACATATTTTTATTTGACATATTATGTCATTTTAACTTTCGTTAAAATTCATAATTATAGGAAAGCTAAAAATTCAAAGATTCTAGTAGTTATAAAAATGTAGAATATGATTTTTTCATCTGGAGTTCAATTTTAGGAAAATTTAGAACTGTTTGCGTATGACAGAAAGGTTTTTATCGATAAAATAGTGTTAATGAAAAGATAATTTTGAAAATAATCATAGAAAATAGAGATAAGTAGTAGATTTTTTTCGTTCAATTACACTTTCGTGTGACTTTAGAACATAATTGAACTGTCAATTGGAATAAAAGTTGTTTTTTAACCCTTTCACTGTCCAGTCCACAAAATTATGAGAAACGCTTAAAAAATGTAATTGGTTAAAATATGATAAAAATGTGATATTTGCGATTTGTGATTGTGATAGAAAATATATATATATATATATGTATATATATGTATATATATATATATATATATATATATATATATATATATATAACAGATATATTTTTAAAAATATTTTAATAGTTTGTTCGTGTATAATAAATTTTAAAAAACGATATGCAGAGACCAACGACCAATCCTGTTTTTTTGGATCCTTATTTCTTAGTTGTAAACACCTAATGAATAATCTAATGAAATGACCGAATAAAGCAGATAGTATAAATAAAACGATCTGCTCACTCATTATGCCCGTATGACGTACAGCGAGGTTTAAATAGCGAGGTCATGAGGTCGTGCGCCTACCCGTACGTTGTACGAATTAAACAGCGAAAGAGTTAATTTTAATGAACATTTAAAGTTTCTTT